GAGAGAGAGAGAGAGTCGCCAGTCTTCTTCATTGACTGTTTACATACCCTAATGCCCCTAAACAAGGTTACATAAAAGATTACAAGATCATTAAGAACCTTAACTCATAGGACTCATGAGTGACTTTCGAAAGGACCCATTTACGTTTATTTCTATCGTAGTATTGAAGTTATACTTTTAATGCGTCTTATGAAATTAAATAATGATTTTCACGCGTATAAATATGAGCTAGTATGTTTGGGATTTGATTGATCATAGAGAGTGTCGGCAAGTAAGATGATGATTTCGTATGGACCTCATCATAAAATTTAAAGCTACTGTTCCAAAAGAAGATAAGCCAAGCCAATAAAAGGTGGTCTGTCTAGAATTTGTTTTGGTAAAAGGCTTTTATCTCACAGCCAAAAGAAAGAGCAGTCCTTTCAAATATCAATTTTTTGTGAACATGTACTTTTGTTTAACATAAAACATGACTTTGTGTGCAGCACATTACGCTTTTCTAATGCTACTTCTGTCCCAGGTAATGGAAGGATAAATGGAGGGATTGGTGGGGTTCACACAGCATCTACAGCACAGAAAGTCTGGAAAGTTTCCCAAGCCATTGGGGACGTAGCATTTGCTTATCCATACTCTATAATTGTCATAGAAATACAAGTAAAATGCTGCAATTCCTATCTGTCTTAAACAAAAGAGAAAATTTTGTTAAAAAAACTAATGCGTTGTGCGTCTTCCTGCCGTATATCAAGAGTGAACTCTATCCAAAATTTTCATTGAATGCAGGATACTTTGAAGTCTCCACCTCAAGAACACCAGACAATGAAGAAAGCTTCCATGGCGTCCATCATCATCACCACCTTCTTCTATCTCTGCTGTGGATGCTTTGGCTATGCCGCCTTTGGTGATGATACCCCAGGAAATCTCTTAACTGGATTTGGATTCTATGAACCCTACTGGCTCGTAGACTTAGCCAATTCTTGCATCATACTTCACCTGATTGGAGGCTATCAGGTAATGCAATTCTTACAATATTGGCTGAAGCTATCCATATTGAAGTTAGCTCAAGATTCAACGCAGTTCTTTCTGCAATGAAATAATTTGTCTCTTAAAAAATAGAAATCTTAGCTTCTCTTATAGCTGTTTTGTTTTCGCTGCTAAGTTTTGCTTAGAAATCAAAATCCATGGTTCTTTCATCTATATCTCTCATTCTGTACTTTTTAATACTAACATTAAAATTTCCTGTTCTGCAATCAATATCTTAATCTCTTACTAACAATGTCTTTTATGTTTCAACTCAGGTATTCAGCCAGCCAATCTTTGCATTTTTTGAGCGACAGTTCTCGGAAAAACTTCCATCGAGCTGGACATTGACGAATTGCTTCCACAGAATTCATCTTCCATTCTTACCATCATTTAGAATAAATCTGTTCCGAATCTTTTTTAGAACACTCTACGTTGCATCAACTACAGGGCTTGCATTGGGCTTCCCATACTTCAATCAGGTGCTGGCACTGCTTGGAGCCATTAGCTTCTGGCCGTTAGCAATATATTTTCCTGTGGAAATGTATTCTGTGCAGAAGAAGATTGCACCCTGGACTTCGAGGTGGTTCGTGCTCCAGGCCTTCAGTGTTGGATGTTTGCTTGTGAGCATTTTTGCTTTGATTGGATCCATTGAAGGTCTCTTTAGTCAGAGACTTTAGAGAATGGAGATCGTTGTATATGAAGCTGTAATGTATTTGTTTTTTTCAAAAAAGGAATGATATGCAGGCTTTTCTTTTCTGAATTGTGAACGAGTTTTTTTTTTTTGGGCAAGAGGCCATGTAGAGGGCAGAATGAAAAAATATAGAATAACTAGTTACATTGAGGAATGTCATATAAAAAAAAAATATTATGTTCTGTGCATCCGGACATCTAATGAATATTTTCTCTCCATAAAGAGATTCTTAGAATAATCTTTATTGGTGCCCATAGAGAAAAGCTGACCATAAAAGGTTAATAGTGATGTCGTCATGCATTAGACTAACAGATTCAAACAACAAAATAAAAGTGAACAACACAACCACTAAATCGAATATGGTACAATCCACGCACGAAGCAAGAACTGTTCTGTAGAGACTGTCATAATGAGCAACATTGAAGCTGCCAACATTACTGCATTTCTGAAAGAAGTAACATCCAAGCTCAGATTTGAAAATTGTAATCCAAAGATAAGATTGATAAACAAAAATAAGAAAAATAAATAAGCAGAAAACTCTCCAAGGCAACAATAACAAGAAGCCTTTATCAAACAAAGTGGGGTTGGCTACATGAATCCTTTTTCTCCATTACATCCTATCGAGTGTCATATTTTCATTTAATTATAACATATTAAGATCATTTTTTTATACAATATGCTTATGTATTTTTAGGTCAACCTCTTTCATTCTTAAATAAGTGGGATCTAAAACTTCTAATCGCCTAACAGAATCATCAAATGGTCAACGTTTAATGTGTTAAGCAATCTAAGTCGACTTTATCTAATCTTGTCCTCCACTAGATCTACAAAAATCGTATCACGAATATAATCATTTTGATCTCTAGTGTCATGCCACTCATCCACATAAGCATTCTCATCTTAGTAGCACTTAACTTGTTTTATGTTTCGCTTTTAAAGGCCAACATTCTGCGCCATATAACATTCTTTGTTTTATAAAATTGTCCTTTAAGTCCCAGTGGTACTTTTCTAACAAGCAATAGGCTTGATGCATTCCTCTACTTCAACCAATCAACTTAAATTATAATAATAACATGTCCATCTATATCACCATCACTTCAAACAATAGAATCTATATATCTAAATTGATCACACCTTTTAATGACTTGATCACCCTTAGTTACGTCTCTACAACTAGAGCTACAACTACTAAGATTACATTCCAACTATTTAGTAGATCTCCTCACACGAAATCTTTTGGACTCCAATGTGGACTTTCTTAATTCAAGATTTTCCGTAACTCTTTCTCTAATCTTACTCACAAGAAGGATATGATCAGCAAAAAAAAACATCTAAGTGCATCCTCATGTAAATGTCCAGTACGAGCATCCATAACTAAAGAAAAAAAATATGGGCTTATTGCTGATTCTTGCTCTAATCTAAATGAGATAGGAAAATAGTTGGTCAATCATCTTTCTGTTCAAACAAAATAAACCTCTTATATACATATCTTTAATGAAAAGAATATAAGTCATATCAACATCTTTCTTTTCTAGAACTCTCGAAAGGACTTCTCTTGGTGTTATTGTGAGGTTTTTTGAAATTAATAAAAATCACAAAAATAATGTCATCACACGAATCTAAAATATCTATTCTCCTAATTGGATCATCAGATGGTCGGCGTCTAATGTGAACAAATCATGTAAGATGACTCTCTCTAATATTGTCTGCCAATGGAGCTACACCAACTCTATCATAAATATATTCATTTCAAATTTTGTTTATAAGTCTCAGGCCACTCATCGACCCAACAACACTTAACATTGTTGTATGCTTCTATTTTAAAGGCCAACTTTTTGTGCTATTGAGCATGTAGGTCGTACCACCATCTTTTAAAATTTTCCCTTTCGTCTAAATAGTACTTTTCTATCACACAATAGGTGTGATGCATCCCTCCACTTCAACCAGCCAACTTAAATTCTACTAATAACATCCCCATCCATATCACCATCACTTTGAACAATAAACATGTGATATCTAAAACATTCACACATTTTAATTATTTGACCACCCATAGTTATAACTCTACCAATAGAGCTACTAGTACTAAGATTACATTCTATGTATTCAGTTTTAAAAATACTCAAACATTCCTTTAGAATCTTACAGAACCGATGGTGGATTTTACTCAGCATCGACGGTGCCAGAAGCAGCGCCGACGCACCATTTGACAGAGAGTAGCGAATTAAATTATGGACCACTGGCACCGACGGCGTCAATGTAGGTTCAGACCCGGTGCCAATGTTGGTTCAGACCATATTTCTATAAGATTCAACAAATTTGGACAATTTTTGAAGAGTTTTTTAATGCACATATTGGAGAACCGACTCTAGGCTCTATTTTGGGCTGAAATTGATCAAAAAAGGGGCTCCTCCTCATTCCTCCTTGCTCTTTTTTCGCCACACCTCACCTCCATACACTTTTTCCATCTTCATTCCACTACCATTCAGGAGTCTATTAGTGATTTTTCTCTAAGAGTTTAGAGTTTTTGTGGTGAGATTGAGTGTGATTTTTTTCTCTGAGAGTGTTGGAGAAGGAGAAAAGTGAGAGATTTCTTAATAATACATTTTTTAGGAGATGCTACAAGGGATTTGCTTTGAGAAAGATTATTAGATAAGTGTTGTTTGTTTATTAGTGTTGTATGAACTTTCTATTATATATGAAATTTATGTTTTGTTGTATCTTTCTCATGAAGTTTGAGTAGTTTCCTTTATCTTTCTCCTTACTTTGAGATATGGTGAAATGAAGAGATAATATGAATGTGCCAATATTAAAATAAAAAAATAAATTGTGATGATTTTTCAACTCCGAACTTAATTTACTTTTTGATCTAACTAATTGAATTGTTAAAATGTGTTATGAAACATATGATCCGGGAAATGGAGTATGAGTTCTACAATAGATTGAGGATCACGTTTAATTTCTTGAAGGAGTATTTTGCTCATAGAATTAAGTGCAAATAAATAGAGAAATATACATTGTTAGGTGTAGAATTGAAGATTTTAGGGTGATAGACTAAAATCCTTAATTCGGTCTTAGTGTTTAAAAACTAAAGCAAGAGTTAGCCTTCAGGTGAAGGGAA